TATCGGTTGGCAAACGAAGGCAGTATTACGCGCTGGGAATGTTTTGGATATTTGTGCGAAAAGATAGGTTAAAGTGAATAATCCCAAGGCCAAGGTTTTGCTCGTAATTCCAAGGGTCCCTATTAAATTTTCGCTAGTTTGGAAAATTTTTCAAAAAAAAAAAAAAAAAACCGCCAACATAGTCTTTTAAAAACCCTATAATGACCTAATCGTTTCACTTCATGGCCCAACGCCTGACCTCCCTCCACCAGATGTTGCACGTGTACGACCACGATTCCGACTACTACCTTTCCCCTAACGCCTGTCTTTTCCATTTCAAATCATCACGTGACCTACTGCCTCTCAAGGCCCGCAACCCGCCACCTCACCCTGTCGCGAGTCGCCTCCTCATAATCGTCCCGCGACTCGGGCCACTTCCGGGGCTTGGTCGTCATTTCCCTCGGACTTTCGACCGCCGATCTTCCTCATTATTCCCTGGCTTGGACTAAAACTGCCTGGAATGGGGACTTACTGACATGCGGTGGGCCCATAAAAGCATAACCCACCATGAACAACCTAAACCTACCACTTAGGGCCTCAATAACACTCAACCCAACTGATAAGGCCCAGCACGGCCGGAAGTAACATGGCATGAAGGACCAATGTATTCAGACACGTGCAGTAAAGGGCAAGCCACAATCAAAAACAAAGATCTGCAAAGTTATTGCCACTGCACATCGTCATTAATGCAGCCCTCACTGCATTTATTACGACAACACCTCTCCGTCGGGGACAAGCACCCCTTACCCTGAAACAAGTAAGCTACAGCATAGACTTTGGCCAAGGTGACAAGCCAGAAGGGACAACGAAATGATTACCAAGGATATAAGCAAACGTTGAAGACAAGAAAAGGTTAAGCTTTTTCTATCTCTAATCTATCTACATACTCCACTCTCTTCTCTCTAACTTGTTCGTCGAAGAGTTCGCTGGGGGATCGCCCGTTCTCGTTGAACTCTTGTGCAGGGTTCTCTTGGAGTGGTTATTCGTACATTAGGCTTATAAGAGACGTGGATCAGTCAACCCGTCCTACCATCAAAAACTCTATTATCATGTTGATAAATGTCATTTTAGTTTATTATTTAAAATTGCAAAACCAGTGAAAAGTTGGATACTAATTACACAGTCATGGAATTTAGAATTTTCAAATTACTACTTTTGCCATGTATTTCTCTCTTCCATTGTCTTTATTCCTATGTTTTAAATCATGTTGTACTATTATCATGGCCAAGATCTCGATTACAACCACTATAATTTGCCATGATTTTGATTTTCATCTTTTATTTTTTTAAATTTAAATTTTTTTTTTTAAATGTGCAATCGATTTGTAATAATTTGGTAATTTTTTTTACTATTTTATTTTTCTGTTTATTTCCTTTTCCTTTAGTAAATTATATTAATTGACATAGATAGCAAACCCAATCAAGGCACCATTATTGCAAAAACACTATATGGTAAAAATAATAATAATATAAATTTTGATCTTTTATTTATATTTTAAGACGGTTGCAAGAAGGGTGCCCGGTGACAGCTCTTAGATTTTTCTTATGTTTTTATTTTTTAGAGTTTCGAATAAGAGTTTGAATAATAGGCATGAATCCATGCACTATCACATTGTTACGATGGAATTACACCACAAAAAATTGTTGGATTTGTTTTATTTAATTTATTATTTTTTTGTGGAGGCGGGGCGGCTAATAACAAGACTTCGCTTTTATTAATAAAAATACAAACAATCCGAAATATTGGAGAGGGGTTGAAGATATTTCAACCAAA